GAAACGTACTAATTCAGTAGTCAAAGGTTAGAAATATCCGTTAAAATTGAAACAGGTGCTCATGTAAGGGAAAACTGATTAATCGAAAGTTGAAACATCACGTAAGTGATAAAGTTTATAGCATTGTTTACATGCGAATAGTTAAGGTTATTTATTTAGAAATGATGGTAACTCGTTGATGGTTTAAGGGATGTTCTGTTTGATAGGAAATAGATGGGACATTGTAACTGAAAAACAGTGTAACTGGATAAGCAACATCAGCTGGCCAGTATACACATATTTTGAAGTAAAACACGATCGGGTAAAGTATTTCGAAGACAGGAGTAGAGCAGTCTTCTGGAACTATTAATTTAGTGAGCAATTAAATTTGTCTTTGAATTAAGACTGAAAGTAAGCGGCATATTGGTAAGCTAAACGATTATCATTATTCGGTTTCGTTAGAATAAGTATCCGAGTACTGTTTCACTCATCATTCTGTCTTTTGAATAACTTAGTAACATGGCGTTTACTTTCGGATCCAAATTACTAAGTAAAGGTTAATATCCCTAAGATTAAATTGTCGCCAAAGTAAGTAAATACGTTCATTTCTAGAAAATACTAAGGTTTGGAGTTTTTTTTTACTACCACAACACCAGGTGACTCACCAATTAGTCACATCGTAAAACTAGATCTGTCAAAGAGAGTCTGCTCCTGACTTCTAGGTTTCGTGAAGGTAGAACTATATACATAGGTTAATAGGATTAGACGCATGATGTCAATTCGAAACTAGGTAATTACGTTTCGCAGCTACAGAAAACACCACGTTACAATCTATTCCTTTAATCGTGTCAATCAATGTGACATCAATTAAGACTAGAGAAGGAACACCACTGGTTTTCACAAAATCCATTTGTGTTCCCTAATATAATGTACATTCCGTAATTATAGGCAAACTAGGAAACGCACCAAGTCATCACATATACGAACAATAATTAATTTAAAGGAATGCCTACTCGATATGGTCCAGAGTTCATGTGAAGTGACACATGCCTACATCTGAAAGTGCGTGTGTAAGGTATCGCATTTCGTGAGCCTTTCGTCTAAGTGACTCAATGGGTCGCCTCCATATTTAACAAATGCTCAGTCCATGAATTCTACTTGTACCTGTAAAACACAAAGAATACCCTGCTGGGATATGGTGCTGTGTTACACTAGAGTCCCTCAGTTTACAGGTAAATCACACTTAATATCAGTATTGCGGCTTTTAGTTGAAAAAGTCATTCGACTGTGTCACAGATGCTTTTGGCTGGATTCCTCAGTACCAAGTATTATTCCCTATGAGAGTGCATTGAAGAAACCCTGCAGGGTGATATTGAAGCTTCGCCGAAAATTGAATAGAAGCATTTCACTCATACAAGATGTATGCAGTAAAGAATACATTATTAACTCATTGCGCTCACTCCTACATTACCCTATAAAATTCTCTAGTTTGGAAATGAAAAATCCACATATATATTGTGTCGTTAACTTCAGATACACACTAATATCTAAATTTCATACGCCTTCTGTCTCACTACTCCATGTAATAATAGTTTGACTATTATTTCCGAATGCAGTAATAAGTATTTCATGGGCCACGAGTAGCACTTGGTATTCAGCAGAGGTATGGGCACTTAGTGATTGTAATTTAGAGAACTGATACGACAAGGTTAGCTTTTTTCTAATATATACGCAACTATCAACACAATGAAAAGATAATGACGAATTGTTATCACAAGCATTCTATTTACTATGGAGGGAATGTTATTACAAGCTAACTTCACAGTAACATGTACAAGTCTTGCATGTCATTGCATCAGTAATATTAGCACACTAATTGTATTACGGCCAAGTGTAAATGATTTAAAGGCATCGTAACAATAACTTTGCGGGAGGTAGATGTATTGAAAGACTGCTTGCAGACACTATGTATGACGACATCTAGTAGAATGTCTACGGAGACTGACAACCTGCAATGAGGAAGACAAAAAGGAAACAATTAGGAGACACATAAGATAAGTATTTTTGACATAAGTATAAAATTTGGGCACTGTGGTAGAGTATAACTCCATTATGGATACGATTTTATTTTGATAAATCACACAGTGTTGTACAGCAATATTACTTGGTGGCGTTTTGAGCACAAACTATTGCTCATGATCATATCAAGTCAGTCACACAACTTTTTGCCTCATTCATATACATGAGTATTTTAGTTAAGCGTACTACAGGGATAGAAGGTCACTCATCTCATTCACTTCTATTCACACCATTTCTTACGTCCATGTTACTGACTTTTGGTTTATGTTTTCCTCTTCGGTGCACTTTATCTGGACAGTTTAAGGAATCGGGAAATGCATAGAGTACTTAGGAAACGGCATGAATAATTGTTTAAGCTAATTAACACTAGGTAGTTGTGACACTACGCATCTGCAGTGACAAAGCTGACTGACTGAGTTTTAACATGGAAATGAGCACAGAAGTGTAGCAGTTCGATTTGTGACGTTCCACACTTGAAAAATATTATATTTAGTTGGTAATAAGCAAAACATATTTCATCAGATGTGTTTCAACTTCGCATTTGGGCTACACGATAAAATTAACTAACTAATGAGATATAACGGGACAGAGTGTGAGAGTTATCTCGGGTAAGAGGAGAAATTATTGTAAGATCACTTTTTTCAGTTAGACAAGAACTAAATGAAAAAATACGATTACCATTTGTTGACATTTTGCTTATTTTTATCCACGTTTTAGCATTTCATTATACCTGGACTATAGATCATTCTGACAGACTGACTTTCAACATAGAAGCTTGCACACAAGTGCACCCGCTTAAGTTAGCACATTACATGTAGCACACAAAGGTAGAAGAAAAAAGAAATTAAATGTCACTATAATGAGCATAAATGTGATGAAAAACAAACAGTCATATGGAAAAAATATAAGGGTTGCTCAGATATGTGAGATTACATAGAGTGAATGCATCTGTGTCATTAACAACGTTTGGAATCACATTTCTACTTAACACTAAGCTTAACCCCAATATTACTCACCATATTAGACTACTTAACACAGAAGAAAGGGTACAGACACTACGATCAAAAACCAGTAGTCTTTTCATATCTTCCAGTTTCAATGGTCACTTATCGCAGCCTAAGTGGACAATACCATCAGCATACACTAAGTTGACAAGACTGTTCCCTGGTAAGGGCCTAAAGTGAGTGACAGACAATTCGGTTAATACATTTATGATGAAATTGAACTAAAATAAGGACGACAGTTGTAGAAATGAGCCTTGTACTACATCCTTCTTTGAAATATCAGTTCCTTCATAGTTTAGTTTCAGTAATAAGTGAATGGAATGCAGTCTACAGATTCATGAAATTCGCATACTGACGTACTACTTTCCTAGAATCCTAGTTGATGTCTCCTCAGGAAAGTGGGAAATGAGCATTCCACTTGCGTAAACTTAATAGGCTGTGAACTGCTGTCAATGAAAACGACAACAATTTTTGCAACAGCACTCGCCATATTATACTGCTTTACTCATGAGATAGAATTCTATCAAGCTTGTTATAATTCTGAATTAAATCTCAATAATTCTGAAATAATTCTAGCATCCTATAGTGAGTAAATTCTGAATTTGTTCTGAAATCGTTTGTTTAGTGGCACAGACTAGAACTAAGTGCTAGTTTTCAGCATAACTAGCGCTAATTCAGAACCGTGTTCTTCTTTTAAGCATAGCAAAGACTAAATTCAGCACATAGTGGCAATTTTTTCAGCCTAATTTAAGCCTTCGCGGATCATTTTCAGCACTGACTAGCACTAATTCAGAACGAAAAGACTTAATTCAGCACATAGTGGCAATTTTTTCAGCCTAATTCAAGCCTTCGCGGATCATTTTCAGCACTGACTAGCACCAATTCAGAACGAAAAGACTTAATTCAGCACATAGTGGCAATTTTTTCAGCCTAATTTAAGCCTTCGCGGATCATTTTCAGCACTGACTAGCACTAATTCAGAACGAAAAGACTTAATTCAGCACATAGTGGCAATTTTTTCAGCCTAATTTAAGCCTTCGCGGATCATTTTCAGCACTGACTAGCACTAATTCAGAACGAAAAGACTTAATTCAGCACATAGTGGCAATTTTTTCAGCCTAATTTAAGCCTTCGCGGATCATTTTCAGCACTGACTAGCACCAATTCAGAACGAAAAGACTTAATTCAGCACATAGTGGCAATTTTTTCAGCCTAATTTAAGCCTTCGCGGATCATTTTCAGCACTGACTAGCACTAATTCAGAACGAAAAGACTTAATTCAGCACATAGTGGCAATTTTTTCAGCCTAATTTAAGCCTTCGCGGATCATTTTCAGCACTGACTAGCACTAATTCAGAACGAAAGAACTTCTACTTATTATCATCCTACGCCGGCGAAATTCATTTATTCAAGTGCAGAAGAAATCAGTTTTTATAATTGAGACTTTTGTATTTATAAATTGTAGTACAACGTCACTGCAATCCCGTCAAGTGCGATCCACTGGCAGCATCCTGCAAATAAGCAGAATAAAATATTAGTGGGTGAAAAATTGTGCTCAGCACATTCTGAGCACTGACATTTATAGAAGTTTACTTACATAAGTGCCACTGTTATATCCCCCAGTATCTTTTTCATTTGCCTAAAAAAGAAAACAATATTGTGATTACTACATGCTGAACAAACGTTCACTTATAGAAGTAAGCAGGCGTTTCACAATATTACCTGAATTCCTTGCTTCCGCTTACGCCTCTGGACACGATCTTTCAAATTATGAAAGTACGATTTCGTGGCCTTATCCATCATTTCACAAATCTCTCCGGTCGTCATTTGTTGGCCGGAGAAGTGCGACATAATTAAAGCTAGAGAACTAATTACTTCATTATTGAAACTTACTCCTCATTATTTTATAAAAGGCATAAGGAACAATGCTTGACTTTGACAAAGTCCCCTGGAATGTAAACTTCAAACCCAATTCAGGTTTTATAACTTGGTGCATCATGACCTTAAGCGACAACTTTGGATCACTCTGAAGGCAGCTAGCCATCTTAGCAGTCTACAAGAAATAAGAATTGAATACGTCAACTCACATATTGCTGTTTGTACTTGTCGTCTCTTAAAGATGCTTCCAGCATCTCTAACTGGTCTTCATTCTCGATCGGAAACTGCAGTGTTAGGTCCCCGTTTGCTGGAGGGTAGGTTTGCTGTCGAAATTTTCTATCAGTAGTAATAATGTTCAAAATTTTCGTGCACAGGTTTACGATTTCCATATTTGTATCTTTAAATAAATAATTATTTTCAAGTAATTACCGAGTAATTTCTTAATTAAGGATTCAGTAGCATATTCGTTAGAGGGCAATCTAAAGCATAAATAAAAATTGTGACAATTATTCCTACCGGTCACACACACACTTCTTTTTGGCAATAGGAGATGAAGACTGGAATTGGGGGGCACCCGAAGTACTGAAAATGAAGGGCTTTCCATCAAGTACACACATGCCGCTATCTTTTAGCAGGCCTCTTATGGTTGTTGGCACATGTGGATTAAATTTACGCATACAGTCCAAGATATTTTGCGCAAGCTTCCCTGTTACATTGTTCTGAAGGAACAATTCCATAATTGATTTCTGACCAGCTCTTTTTGTGTCATCTTTTCAGGAACAACCTGAAGTTCTATTGAAATTAATTATTGCATAATAATAAATGTTACGATTCTCTTCAGTTTGTGAAACAACAGCGACGGTCTCACTAGTACTAGGTAAACCCACTGTTCCCTGTACAGTTGAACTTGAAGGCAAAGTTACTGTATTATCCCTTGCCACCTCTTCTCTGGATGAGCAGTAACGTTTCCAGAAGTCCCAGTCACTGAATGCTGCATCACGTAACCGTTTTTGACGGCGATAAAATGTTGAGTAGCTGTATCCAAAGCATTCATGCAGTCTGCCAGAAGATATTCTTCTCTTACGACTTGTTGCAGAATGTTGAATACCCGTATTTAACACATTATCTGAGTTGTTTTCCTTATAATAGAAATGGACAAATATGCACCCAAAATCTAACTCACCTGCATGATTTATAAATCCTGTAAGAATGGTCTTTGTATGTGAGGAGTACTGCTTATATACTTCTAGGCAAACATCAGTCTGTTAAATATGAAAAGGGATGACTTGTGAACTGTAATCACAGTCCACCAATTAAATTGTAATCACAATTGTTAACATTTTCCTTACAGCAAGTATATGTTTTCATATGTGAATCAACACAATCTGTCACCCCTTGTTTCATTTGGATTCCCAAGGTTTAAATATATGAACTCGTAGACAGTATTCAGCAATCGAAACAATTTACATAACATATGTTATGTATTCACACCATTATTATTATATAATAATAATGGTATGAAATGCAAATAAAATATCTGTAATTCTAATCATAGTTAAATGTAAAGTAGCAAGACAATCAGTGTCAGATATAGAATAATACCTGAGGTGTATAGATGTTGGAAAGGGGTGCAAAATTGTAGGATTAGTAGGTGGATATAAAATGCTACATGACATGGTGTGAAATTTGGTAAGATAGAATTCAATATGGCCCAAAAATTTTTTACATTAATAATTTTGTTTTTAAGTATTGGTTTGTTGTAGGGATTTTGTTTGATTGCATGGAGGATTTGATCATGAGCTGACATCAGTTAGAGAACCACTGGAAAACCTGGGAGTACTGGACAGCTGTTTCGTCCTAGTTTGGGACTCCTCAGCAGTACGCACCCACCGGGATTCGAACCCAGGACCTTCTGGTTACAAGGCGAGCTCGTAGACCATTGAGCCACTGGGACCCGATCCAATGGTCCTTGAATTCTAACTTCTGCCAGTTCACGACATAGCGCGACCACTTCGCTGTGACTGGCCCTATTCAGGCAGTTAACCTGGGGTTCTAGTGGGAAGCCGTGACCAGTAGGGTACAGCAGGTTGAAGATGAGGCAGTAACTCATCGAAGAAGACATTGCGAAGTGGTCGCGCTATGTCGTGAACTGGCAGAAGTTAGAATTCAAGGACCATTGGATCGGGTCCCAGTGGCTCAATGGTCTACGAGCTCGCCTTGTAACCAGAAGGTCCTGGGTTCGAATCCGGTGGGTGCGTACTGCTGAGGAGTCCCAAACTAGGACGAAACAGCTGTCCAGTACTCCCAGGTTTTCCAGTGGTTCTCTAACTGATGTCAGCTCATGATCAAATCCTCCATGCAATCAAACAAAATCCCTACAACAAACCAATACTTAAAAACAAAATTCATCTGGTGCTCACTAGTGACTGGCCCTATTCAGGCAGTTAACCTGGGTTCTAGTGGGAAGCCGTGACCAGTAGGGTACAGCAGGTTGAAGATGAGGCAGTAACTCATCGAAGAAGACATTGCGAAGTGGTCGCGCTATGTCGTGAACTGGCAGAAGTTAGAATTCAAGGACCATTGGATCGGGTCCCAGTGGCTCAATGGTCTACGAGCTCGCCTTGTAACCAGAAGGTCCTGGGTTCGAATCCCGGTGGGTGCGTACTGCTGAGGAGTCCCAAACTAGGACGAAACAGCTGTCCAGTACTCCCAGGTTTTCCAGTGGTTCTCTAACTGATGTCAGCTCATGATCAAATCCTCCATGCAATTAATAATTTTGACAATCGTAGAACAGACATCAAACTTATGATGTACGATGTAAAATGAAAAAAATTTATAAACCAGACATGTCTGGTTTATAAATTTTTTTCATTTTTGACCTCATCTCAAATTCGCTTACATTCCACAAACGAAAAATATATTATTCATAATATATTTTTCGTATGAATTCATGCGACCAATTCACCTTCCCCTACCCCTGTTGAATTATGTTTTCGTTGTATTCTTATTTACTGTCACACCTCTGGTCAAATAGATCAATCACATCATATGTAATTCGCAGACAAGTCTGTAGCCGTTACACTACGTAATCTGTGTGAAACCTACTCTTTGCTGATTGGTTGGTTTCAATATACTACAATATTACAATTCATGAATTGTAATCAAATTCAGTGACGCTCCACAAACGAAATATATTATTCATTACAATCTTCATATGTTATCAATTCACATTCCCCTACCCCTGTTGAATTATGTTTTCATTGTATTCATATTTACTGTCACACCTCTGGGAAATAAACCAATCACATCACATAAAATTCACAGACAAGTGTGAAGCCGTCACACTACGTACTCTGTGTGAAACCTACTGTTTGCTGATTGGTTGGTTGGTTTCAATAGGCGATGTCGAGAGAGAGAGAGGACGTGCTATTTTCAGTATTAACCGCAGCAGTTTAGCATGCAGTGCTTATTTTCAGCACTTAAGGCATTATTTCAGATGGTGATCTTATTTTTAAGAATTTGTCGCATTAATTAAGCACCCAGCTCTATTTTTCAGCACGACCAGCGTTATTTCAGAGCATAGTGGGTAGAAAAAATAATCATTTACCAAAAAAAGGCATTATCGACGCATAGGTTAGAATAAGTTTTGAATTTTTGTCCGCGTTAACGCGGACACCTATAATCAAATACCGGTATTATTTTCATATTTTACAGCATCAGAGGTTACTTCTCATAGTCTAGGTGGACAATATCATCAGTAAACTGTGAGTTGATGAGACTATTCCCTGATAAGTCTCTAAAGTCAATTACAGATTATTCTACTAATATATGTGTGATTGAATTGAGCTGATATAAGGATGACAGTTTAAGCATTCAGCCTTGTATTACATCCCACTCGGAAATGTGTTTTATCGGATAATTCGCAAACAGTATTCAGTGAATAGAAAACATTCTGTAGGCTTAATGAAGCTCGTAAACTGACGCACTACTTTTGCAGGCACTATAGTATTTCCTCAATAAAGTGAGAATTGAATATTTCGGCTGCATAAAACGAGTAAGTAGTATCCTGGGAATACCAATGACTACAACAAGTCTAGGAGTTATGCACTACAACTTTTACTTTACTGAATACACCAGCAGCTGCTGGTGTATAGACTTTATAAAGTCTAGACTTTACATAAACACTTGACAGATCAAATTTATGCAGGAAGTCAGTAAGATTTAGTAAACTAAAAGTGCTTTCGGTTTCCACAGGAGTTCTCCGTGCCGAATTTATTCCTTCAAGGGCCTACAGAGATTAAATCTTCAATTAAATAACACTGATGTGGAAGAAATTCCATTCTTCATTACTACACTTAATGAAAAGAATCATGTTTTTTATTTTAAAAACAGGAGAATTCGTCATGTTTTACTTTATGTAAATGCAGTTGCATACAGTTGAGTTAACTCAACGCAACTCGATACACAATAGTATATATAAAAATAAACTGGAAAATAATGTCCTCCTTACTTTCTGAACAACTTGTCTTTATTCCAGGATTATAATTTTTTCACCTATGAGCCTGAGTTATGTCTACGAAATCGCAATATTACATCAAATCTTCCCCCAAAACCAAGGCCACTTGAAACCAATAGCAACATAGCAACAAGCGTCATTGAGGAGATATGCAATAAAGTCGCTCTAAAGCATTCATGATTACTTCCGCAAATGATACAGTCAGCTGATTCCTTGCTCAAGGTCACTTTTTTGTTCAAAGGTCGTGTCGGTTTGGGCAGCTATTCTTTAGAGTCACCCAAAACAGTTTCATTGGAAATCATAAGTCACAAGGAGTGGATGCATCTGTACCATTGAGAACGATTTTGAGCCATATCACCAATTGTTTCCAACCATTGATTTTTACCGTTCCGAGGACCCCAACCAGGAAGTCTACACCTTCCTACGTGGCTGGCTTAAACTAACTGTTGTAGATTTCATTGACTGGTGCCATGTTTTTGTTTGACTTCCGCTAGCTCTTTTCCAGCCTGTCCCTATGTCAGCTAACATTGCCCGGCGAGGAAGGCGATGACCAGGAATACGTAACACATATCCTAACCATCTCAGTCTTTGTAACTTCACGACTTCGTCGATAGATTTCCCCTGTTTACCTAGCACTCGACGCCTAACCTCAATATTGCTCACCTTATTATGCCACTTTACACGGGAGATAGAACGCGGGCACCTATGAACAAAGACAGCTAGTCTTTTCATGTCTTCCACTCTCAGTGGCCAGGTCTCACAACCATAAAGGAGGACGGAGCGAACTACTGAGCAGTACACTCGCCCTTTGGTCGATAGTCGAACATCTCGTCTGCGCCAGAGTCGGCGTAAACTGGCAAATGCGAAACGAGCCCCCTGTATTCGTGCTGAGATTTCGTCAGAGATCAACCCGTTGGGGCTGATGGTACTCTGCATAATCACTTGTGGGAATTTATTCTACAT